AAGTTGGAACTTGGCTGCTTTATTACAAAATACAACGTTATTAGCTATGTACGTCGCTGAGTGCAATGCTCCTACTATTAGTCATGGCTCACTTGTCCTGCCCACCCTTGTAGCTTCGTTGTAGATCACATCGTACTGAAATTTTCTGTCGTTAATATGCAGGAGTGGCGACCGCGGACCGGAAGACGCAGCGTGGGAAGGCCTCCAGCAAGGTGGACCGACGATCTGGTCAATATCGCTGGAAGGCATTGGATGCGAGCAGCGCAGTACCGATCATCGTGGAGATCTTTGGGGGAGGCCTATGTTCAGCAGTGGACGTCTTCCGGGCTGAGATGATGATGATGATGATCACAATATAGATATATAGATAATATAGATTATATAGTGTGATGCCAATGATAGCACTAAAAGGTCATTAAAAAATAACGTGTTAATTCCCAAGACATATTACATTATATGTAGGCATTAGGCGGCCACAGAGGTCTAGCAGTTTTTGCACATCGCTAATTTTCTCAATGACATCTATTTTATTGGAGATCTTTGGGAGAGGCCTATGTCCAGCAGTGGTCGTCTGCCGGGCTGCGATGATGATGATGAATATGCAGGAGAGTAATAGCACAAATATATAAGTACTGCGAATATAGAATCGTTAATAAGAAAAGAAACTGCTTTAATAAAGTTGCAACATAGCTGCTTCATCATCATTATCATTACATAGTATAAAATAAAGTCGCTGTCGCTGTCTCTCCCTATGTATACCTAAATCTTTAAAACCAAGCAACGGATTTTGAAGAGGTTTTCTTTAATACCTAGAGTGATTCAAGAGGAAGGTTTATATATATAATACATATACACCCGTGCGTAGCCGGGGCGAGTAGCTAGTTACAAAATCAACGAAACTGCAATGCTCATCCATTTCGATATAGCTCACTTGTCTTGTCCTGCCCACCCTTGTGCCAGCTCGTAGCAGAGCTATTTATACAGCGCCATCTAGTCTCAAACCAAACAGATCGTATCTTTGTAACGAGAATATTCCCTCTTTTTTTATATACATATGTGGTTGTACATTGGATCTCCTTTCATTACAAAAATATTGCATTATCAGTACGCTGGCTAGTAATATTTTAAGAAAGATGTTACAAATGAATGTGGATGGTTATAAGGGCAGAGGAAAGCCGAAAAAGAGATGGATGGACTGTGTGAAAGATGATATGGTAAGAAAGGAAGTAAATAACACGATGACTGCGAACAGGGATGAATGGAAGCGAAAAACATATTACGCCGACCACAAATAAATGGGATAAGGAAGAAGCAGATGATGAGTACGCTGGCTAGTATTAGGAGTGAAACGTATTTTAATAATTTTGTTACATTTTTGCTGATCTGACTGGCGCCGAAGGCATGCAGCGCAATTATACTTAGTTAGTGCGAGATAAATATCACTTGAGGTCGACCGTCACGAGATTCTCAGCCATTTTAATTAATTCCCGGTGAATTCACCACTTAAGGCTGGTGAATTCAAACCTACTGAATGCATAATTTACATGCTCATCCTATTATCCTTGACTAATGCCCGCCAGTGTATTACCTCAAGCAGGTGCATTCCATAATCATTAATTAAGAAACTACTAATAATAAACCTTAAATACTAGGAAGAGAATTGTTAGTAATAGTCAAATAACCACATTAATACCAATGTACTTTCAGGTTGACCTCCACGAGGTTCCCACTGGAAACCATCGTGGTAAATTTACCATGAATTTATCTAACTGACCTGACCTCATTTTTTCTTAAGGGATGATAATGGAATGGTGCATCCGCTTGCGCTAACGGTTTATGCTGGCGGGGCATTAGTGGAGGATGATAAGATGAACATGAGATCAGGTCAGTTAGCCCATTGTGATAAATTCACCAGGAATTTATCACGATGGTTTCCAGGGGGAACAGCGTGGAGGTCAACCTGACATGGCACATTTCTTGTAATGGGGTCTTGAGTCCACATTACTAAGAATCCCTTTCCTCCCAACCTGACCTCATACTCAACTTATCAACCCCCACTGGTAAGGTTGTTTGTATCGATCTGTGTATTTTCTATGTATAATATTTATTTATATACGAAAAAAAATATCTATCTATTTGTATCAGTTATCTAGTGCCCATAACACAAGCTTTAGCTACCTTAATTTCGGTCTAGACGGCGCTGTGTGAATTGCCCTGAGATTATTATTATTTGTATTTAATTATACAACTCGACTAAAAACTATACGACTCGAAAAAAAACCTGCCATCAAAGTAAAGTTATGATAAACCGCTACATCTTCCAGCGTAGCGACCAGGTAGCAAGATCTACCATACAAAATTGGCGACTATAAAAGAACATTCTTTATTTTATCTATGCACTGCAATAATCCATAGCACACACATGCAAAAGTGTCTGTCTCTTTGTTACACATAAGTGGCTGAACGGGTCATAATCAAATGTAATGCGCAAATAGTACAAAGGGGTCGGACATAAACTGCCTTTGATCTCAAAAATAATCTAGAAGGGTATTAAATAGGGGATGCAATTCTGTACAGTCGATGTTAACAGCTAGTCACAGATTTTATTAATATTAGTTTGTGAGCATGCATGAATGTTTGTTACTCTTTCACGCAATAACTACTGAATGGATTTTGATGAAATTTTACAGTAATATACCTTATACATCAGAATAACATATAAGCTATAACTTTCACGCGGGTTAATCCGCAAGTACAGTTAGTCTTATATATAAAATTCTCGTGTCACAATATTTGTTAGTATGCTCCTCCGAAACGGTTTGACCGATTTTTATGAAATTGTATATGCTAAGGATTGTATACCCCTAAGGTATGAAAAATAGATCCTAATGATAAGAGTTGTCCTCCCCTAATATTGTTTTTATTAATATTACACAATATTATTTTTTTATTATATGGCATTGTAAAACACACAACCCAAAATTTTCACCTTTCTATCACCTACTCTTATATATATGGCAATACGTTTGCAGGGTCAGCTAGTAATAAATGTTTATCAAGTAACAAATATACACAACTCGTTCCATTACTTATAATATTTACTATTCTCCTGTCCTAAGTATATGACTCAATAATTGTAAAAATACAAATATATAAACAAGAGTTTATCATCTTTGACATTTGACTTTATGAATCTTGCATACTGTATTCATTTGATATAGAAACTTGGCTACAATATTACTATTATTGTACGAGCTAGCGTCGTACATTATTTAGCAACACTAACATTTTATTTACCATTTCATATTTCACCAAAAGTCAGTTCGCATTCGCAGTCATCATGAATACTTATTTTGTCATTAATCAGTTATAATTTAAGTATTAATATTTATCATATATTAGATTCTTCTATCAAAATCTTTATAGTTTTGGATACAACCCGAATATTGGTCCTTCGAGCCGGATCGGCACCAACCATATAATAAAAAAAATAATGATTATTCTTACTAAGACAAAATAAGTTTTAAAGAAATGATGGAGGAATCGTGTACATAATTGTGGAAAATGTTAAGAGCTCCATCGATAAGAGCGTGGCTCTTAAATTGAATAAATGAATATTAAAATAAGGTAATATATAGGAAAATAAAAAAACACTACGATATTATATCTTATTATTATTTTTATTATCACACTTAAGAAAGATACAAAATATATCACGATGGCACTAGCAGTCAGTGCTTCAGCAGACAAAGTCATATTGTTTGTTAGTGATGAAACTATGACGATTTTACTTACACTAAAAGTTCATCACTTACAAAAATAAATAGAAAAATGAGTATAATATAACAAGTGATAAGTATGTAATGGGCGCCTGAACGCGATGTACTGATTTCCAAATTCTATGAATTGTTACCTCATAAATAATCATCAATCACTACAATATATTGGTATAAATGTAACGAAGAATATAATTCTTCTAATAAACGTGTTCTTATGTGATAATAATAAAAGAATCCGTACTGTAATGCGAAATTGAACGTTGCTGGATCAAAATATTAAAATGGCGGATTTTCAAAACCCGAAGCAATATGTTTCACTTCTTTAAGTTAATGTAATTATAATAGATTGAATGATGAATTATTAAGTGATGTATTATTTCCAAATTGCAGAATTTGTAACAAAACTTATTTTAAAAGTAATATTTACAATTAGTATTAATTATTGGACAACATAATGTTACAAATTGTAATATTGTTCAGTTTCAACATAAAGAGAAATTAAGAATAGAAACCTTATGAAATTACATTGTAATTAATTATTACAGATACATTATAATTACTAAAAAATATCTGAAATTAAGTAGTATAGTAGTTACACACTAACGTCTAGAGTTTGGGGAATAAATTGACTAAGAATAACGACCATTAACATTAATTATACTGATAATGCGTTTTGTACTTAAAATTTATTTATTTATTTTATTTTTATTCATTATTTATTTATTTTAGGAAGACTAACGCTGTAAGTTTACTCGTTACTGATCATATTGAATTGTTCCATGCCAATTAATAATCTTCATAATTAAATAAAATATGTTTATATACCAAATACAATAATCTTATGTAATATATATTACACTGTTTTAGTTATACAATATAAGTAAACAGATTAATATACACATAAGTAATGATAACAATATTATATGCAAGAATTTATTATTTTTAAAGGAGTATGAACAAAATATTCTTTAACTTTTTAAACCTTTTATCCTATGTCTTAGAAAGACAATACTTGTGTTTACCTTGTCATGATACCAATTTATTGATAAACTAGTTGTTCCCGCGACTTCGTGCGAAAATAAATGCCTAAGTTACTCCTTATTACATCAAGTATCTGCCAAGAAAAATCCCGTCAAAATCAGAGATTATTCGGAGCAAACAGATGGACAGACAAAATTTAAAAAAAAATATTTTGGTGTACGTATCATATTTATATTCATATGCATGTAGTAAAAAACGGTTATTTCAATATTACAAACGGACACTCCAATTTTATTTATATGTATAGATAAATACATGACTTTGCTAACACAATTAAAATAAATAATCTTTTCATATAGTTCTTAGACGTATTAAATATTTCATATGTCAGATCGTAATATATATTGTAAACACAAAATATTTTGTAACAAATACATTATTAGTATTTTTTTGTTTTAAACTCATTGTACAACGACATTATCAGTATAAATCAATAGTCATTCAGTTCTAACCAGTACATATTGTGATTTTAATTTATTTTGGATTAACCCCTCGGGCGGGTCTGGCAGGCCGACCCCCAATCCCCCCTGCTGCCCGACGCTTCGCAAACAAAGCGTCCAGGCCCCTCAGTGGGGGCGCGGGGGTTGTGTCCACGGGTTGCGGTTCAGTTTCTGTCTCACTTTTCTCGTCGCTCGTGCTATCTTCAGTAGTCTCTATTGATGATTTCCTAGCTGCTTCTGTAGTTGCCTGCAATATATTATAACATCTTTTAATCCTTAAAATAAGAACATTTGACGACGACCTTGATGGTCTAGCGGTTTGCATACCAGTTAAATGCCGATGTTCAGGGGTTTGATTTCTCGCACGGTGTAAACATTTGTATTCATAAGTATATATTGTAGTCTGGATGTTTTATTTATACTACTATACTAGCTGTACCCGCGACTTCGCCCGCGTGGAATTTAACTTTATTATTCTGAACTAACAGATTTTTTCTAAAATAAAAGTAGTCTAAGATACTCCTTATTATATCAGTTACTTGCCAAAAAGTTCCGTCAAAATCGGTCCAGCCATTTCAGAGATTAGCCGGAACAAACAGGCAGGCAGACAAAAATTGTAAAAAATGTTATTTTGGTGTATGTACCGTATTTATATTAAGTAAAAAATGGTTATTTCAAAATGACAAACAGAAACCCCAATTTTATTTATATGTATAGATTAAAAATGTATCTCAGTAATTATATCCCTTGACTAGTACCCATAACACAAGCTCTGCTTAGCTAGATGGCGCTATGTGAATTATCCAAGGTCATTATTAATATTATATAATTTTAGAGAAATAACAGTATTGTAAATCGTCGGATATGGCGCTCCGATACAAATGATTAATTATTGATTTATGAGCTAATCTTTAAGGGGTTTTTCTATTTTCTTCTACAAACCACCCCTGTATTTTAACCAAAAATGCTCGTTAATACAGGAGTGCGCAAAGCTCGTCCAAACCATCTTCCTACTCAAGGATAACTTTTCAATACCTGTGTTATAAAATATTCATTTAAACACCCCAACACTGAGTTACATCCAACTTAATATTACTATTGAGATCGTTATATATGATTCACTTGATTAATCTGCACCCCTAGCAGACAGATATATGTGTAAGTATATAACCATAGAGCACACTGGTACATAGGGCTGGTACACACAAGCTTGCACCGGGTAAATACTGAAATTCAATTGCATACGTGTGCGTGACATTTCATCGTGAGCGAATAGATATGTAGCTACGATTATTATCATTAATATCGATATCGATAGTATGTTTAATATTTTTTTATACTCTTTTTATTTATACTCTTTCTTCTTCTTTATGAGCCATCTCTTATTAGAGGTTGACGATCTTCCTGGCGATATAAATCGTCTACCGCTGTTCTGAACAAGGAACTAGTGATAATCGAAATAGAAATAATCTTTATTCAAATAAACTTAATATAAGCACTTTTGAATAGTCACATTTTTTTATTCTACCACTCATTCGGAACACAGAGTCATCACAAGAAGAATGAGCAAGGAACTTGTGTGTTGTCTTGTCTCCTTATTTGTTGTGTCTTTCATTAATTCCGATTAACAACAAGGAATTGGTGCTAATTATACTCTTTGTTGCACCAATTATATAACAAAGTTCTATGTAAATATCTAATCTAATATCTATTCTAATAAGATTGTAAATTAATCTGTTAAATCCAAAAATGATATTCATTTTTACTTGTCGAATAAACTAATAAATATTGTGTAATAACGTACATACAAAAATACTTTATAAGCAATCAATATTTTTGTTAGATTACCCATGTTCTCACATTCGAAATTTCAACCTAAATGTGTGTAATAATATATTAGTAACTAGCTGTTATTTTTCTAAAAAGGCTACTTTAGCCTATATTAATACTTATTACATTAGCTACCTGCTAAAAAAATCGCATCAAAATTGGTCCAGCCATTTCAGAGATTAGTCGGAACAAACAGAGAGACAAAAATTGTAAAAAATGTTATTTTGGTGTATGAACCGGATTTATATTCATATGCATGTAGTAAGAAATGGTTATTTCAATATTACAAATAGACACTCCCATTTTATTTATATGTATAGATAACATATTTAAAAATAGGAGAATTTTCTACAAGTGCTTAATTGTATTTCTTAGTATACTACAGTAATTACAATTTCTTATATCAGAACAATATTACTATATGGAACCCGTTATGTTATGGATTCATTTATTAATTAGAAGCGTTGAAGATTATCTTGTATTATTTTGATGGCACATAAGAACCAAATAATACTGGAAATAGGCGATAGAATATTCACAAAGTATTTAGTTTCATTATAAAGGACTGTACTTCGTTTTCCATCGCTTAAATATCTTTCGAATCAAATCAATCACAATGACTCACGGCGTCAATTAAGAAAAGGGAATATAATATATGGAGTAGTCAACTGTAATAATTTACCAGTGAAATGAATATAGTTATTTCAATATAATTGTTATGTTACGTTGTAAACAATTACTGAATATATACATACTTTTTAAGCAGTTTTTGAACGCATTTTCATTAATCAAAATAAAACAAATATTGTTAAAGTCAAATAGATCTTAATCGATAAATAAATTGAATTAGCAGCTCTACTACCTGCCAGTACGTCATCTCTTTCTGTCGTACAGTATTGCCATTATATGCAGCTCGCTCTAATATTCCTTTGTTCCAATTTATATCTATATATCTATAATATATATTGATTCTATAGCTAGAACGAATATTAAATATGTTTCAATTTACCTCTGTGGTGGCTAACTTTCTCTTAATCAAAGGATTAGGTCGCCGAGGAGGTGGCGTTGCTGTTACACGAGGTTTGGGTGATGGAGCAACCTGCAGCCGGTTGCGTAGTCTTACACCACCGCGAGGATGATCAGGCACTGGAGTAGGTGATGAACCCTATAATTAAATGAAGAGCTTTTCAATATATCCCACGATTTAAAATTAGTTCCTCAAGGTGACCATGTTGTTTATACATAAAAGAAGATAGTAAGTAGTCTATTGAATGGAAGGTATAGGAAAATGTTTAATTTCAGTAGTTTCAAGCGGAGTACCTTCCAAGTTCACAATAATTTTGTTAATGTTAATAAATGCATAAGTTTAATTAATTCTAGTAATGAAATAAATATTTATTATATTAACACCAATTCTTTTTTTTCCCAAATTAGTATACCGTAGGAACTGTTTAGAATCAGCGCCGTATATCACCTTGTTATATGATCCTTAAAAACCGTTATATCTGTGCTTTCTTTACTATTATGCATAGTCCGTTCATTTTTTCGGTCGATAATAATTCGCACGCACTTTTAAGAGATACATACAATATCGAAACTATCCTTATCTAAATAAAAATAAATGGTTGAGAGAAGATATATGATCCCTTCAATGCAAAATTTTTGGACAATACCTCTGCATCAGCATCGGTGACTGCAGCCTCAGGTGCAGATGTTTCTGCTCCAGCCTCTGCAGGAGCTTCAGTGGAAACTGTGGCCGCTCCTGTTCTAAGTCGAGGGTTCGCTCGAATATTCAGCCTGGCACCTGGCCGTAGCGACGCTGGCCTCAAACCAGGACGGGCCCGACTGTCAAAGAGTGAAAGTTATAAAGCAAGTAGTAAGTTAAATAGTAAATGACCAAACAATTTCTCTTAACTTCATCTTAGGTTTGTATACTTTCTTTTTGATAACGATTTTGTCACGACTCCGTTCGGCATGCGATTATGAAATAATTAAAAATGTTTCTCGGTCATGTCTTACAATTGCGCAATTAACTACTATAATATATTTACCGTTTTACTGTTATGTAATTTTTTTATTAAATTCATGTAACACTTCACGTACAATACATATGTAAATATATATATTTATTTATGTATTTTCATATCTTTTATTAATGTTTAATTTTTATTTTTGGATAATTATTAAAGTTTAACGGTAAAATTTAAAATTACTTATTTATAATATAGAACATTTTGTGTCAGGGAGCCAGCATAGTAAAAATACAAAAAAATATTTGCACTTATCGACTTGTTCTAGGAAAAATTGTTCAATTTGAATTCGAAAGTACTCGATCGATTTCGGTAAATTATATCTGTTCCTTTATACTCTATATATTACTTGGGTCTGACTGGTGCTGGAGTAGTCTCAGGGGTTTCTCCAGATGCTGAATTAGATGAACCATCGTCATCTCCCACGGGAGCAGCTGTGGTTGTAGTTGTTAACGGTCTTCTTAAACCAGGCCGAAGACGGGGTCTGGAAAGTCATTGCAATGTTAACTAAATCCTTTACATTGCAATTTTATAGAGTCATTCTTTTAAATAATCTTAAAGAGTAATGTTTTACAGCATTACTATGTTGGTACTTATGATATAGGCAATATTTCTCTACCCATTTTACATCTTTATTCTTCTAGCAAATGGATGTAATCCCAAATTCCGTTTAATTAATTTTTACCTTATTTTCAGGTAATAGACAAAGTTATATTTTGAAAACCAAATAGGTGATAAATAATATATAATAATTAGCATATTTTTTTTTAGAAAGATATATACATACATTTATATATATATATATATATATAGCATATTTTTTAGAAATTATAACAAATATATGTTATCGTTGCTATTTTAGCTTGGTTGAAGTGTGCTAACCTGATCGGTGAAGGAGCTTCGCTGGCTGCACCGGAGCTGATTGCTGCATCGTCTTGTACAGGCGCAGCTGTAGTGGAAGTTGGACGTGTGCGACCGCCAAACAGTCCTCTACGTCCAAATGCCTGTGAACGTCATCAAACATCTTACATCTGAGTATTTATTTAAAAAAATAAAAAATTTACTTTTTAATTATTCAAAATATTTTATATAAATCTATAACACAAAATAATGATAATATAATTGAATATTCTTGAAAATAAAATCTTGCGTCAACAAAAAACTAAGTATCTACAATTCGGTTAGCATATCGATTTCGCTACAGCACATACTAAATATGTTTTAGTAAAATTATGAGTGATATAATAATTATTATTACTATTATACGGACCTTGGGTTGAGTGACCGCCTTTTCAGCTGGCTCGGAGATTGCAGCCGGGGCTTCTGTGGCGGCCGTGGTTCTGCGGGCACCTGGTTTGCTGAACCGACCTATGGACAATTGAATATTTGTGTTTATTGTACACTTATTGAATCTAATGAAGTACAAAGTAAAATATATTATTTATAATAATAAAAACTATACATATAAATAAAATTGGAGTGTCTGTTTGTAATATTGAAATAAGCGTTTTTTTACTAAATGCATATGAATATTAATACGGTATATACACTAAAATGACATTTTTTTTGCAAGTTTTGTCTGTGTAACTGTCTGTCTGTTTATTCCGGCTAAGCTCTAAGTTGGTTGGACTGATTTTGTCGACACATTTTTTTGGCAGGTAGCTGGTGTAATAAGGAGTAACTTAGGCTACTTTTATTTTAGAAAAACAAATTATTTTAGAAAATTAATTTTACATTCCACGCGGACGAAGTCGCTAGTACAGCTAGTAAACAATAAATTACTACGGGTGTATATTAACTGAAATTAGGCTTGTAATATGATTCTATATAAGTATAATGTATTGTATTTAGTTATATTCTTTGTAATTTTAATCCATATCAAATCTCTATAACCTAATTACAGCTAATAAACTAGTACACATATTAACTATAACCAGAAAATCCTTTAAACCAGCACTCGGAGCGGACCTGCAACAATTCGCATTTGCTAATGCACAATTTCGCAACTAAACAATCGCTAAGCAACGTTGCTAATTAAATATGGCTTTTGCAATGCTGTGTTATGCTTATAACTTAATATGTAATTAAAACAATAACATAATTACTAATATTACAATGTACACAGTAAAATAGCATGCTACATAATCGTTAATAAAAATATTGGGGTGAATTTATGTAATATGTTGCAAATTATTACTGAATACTGAGCAATATATATTTAATTATATATAATTTAGTAGTTACAAAATAATTATTATTTAAAAAAATATGTACGTTTGATTTTTTTATGTACATATATATTTTATTAAATATTTCTTCTTCTAATTAAATATTTAATTTTTTTATTAAAAATTCTATTAGCTGCTTGTAATACTATATCATCATTTAAATGGATATTGTACTAATAGTGAACCTACTTAATTATTGCCCAACGACGTAATAGTATCTAACGACTTGTACTTTATTTACTAATGTACAGAAATATTCATATTACGAGAGGATGGTTTTGGCTTCAGTTTCTTTATGACTGGCCGTCTTTCTGACGTCAACCCTCCATCCCTTCTTTCAATGAGATAAGAGAAAAACATATTATGCCGATCCCAAATAAATGGGATAAGAAAGAAGCAGATGATGATGATACAGAACATTCAACACATTTGCAAGGTCTTACCTCGTGCTCTCGTTGATGTTTCTTGTGGTGCCTCTGTAGCTGCCACAGTGGAGGAGACTTTAGCCCTGGCTCCCGCTCGTCCCTTGAATCTTGAAGGTCGAGTGGGTGCGGATGTTGTAGTGGGCGCTGGTGTAGTTGTGGTTGTTGTGGTCGTTGTAGTTGTAGTAGTTGTAGTTGTAGTCGGTGTCGTCGCTTCTTCTGTGGTGCTCAGACCCTCAGTAGTCCATACTTCGTCATCAACCGTGGTTGTTCCATCAAAGTTTAATAAATCGTTCGTTGGGTTTATCTCGTTGTTTAAATTTTCCCCAGCTAAATAGGCGTACAGATCCAGAGCTACCTTCTCCATAGCCGTCATTGTTGTGTATTCGGTAGTATCCTGCTCGTAAGTTGTCGTTTGTTTGTAACCCTCAGGTAATTTGGTGTCATCTGTTATTTCCTGGAATTTTATTCCTCCAGATAAACTGTGACCCTCACGTGCATTATCTTTGGCATTAGACAGTTCTTTGGCAGTTGGTGAAACTTCAGGAATTTCTGTGGTGGTCTTTGATTCTGAAGAATATCTACTTGGTTGTTCTCTGTGGGACGGTATATCTCCAGTCTTAAAACTATCTAAATCGACGAGCTCTGAACTAGGACGTCTGAAATTATAAGAAATATTTTATAGCACTTACATTCTAAAAATTTTAACCAAATCCCAAATTGGTTAATATATTCTTTAATTATGTAGAATGAAGACAAATCATTACAAATGATACGTACGTTATATACAAATGTTACGATACGTATTTTTGTACAACTATTGTATATGCTATTGGTCGTAAAGGATATACTCTTAAATACATTACATTACACTTTGATAGACGCGCCGTTCTCGCCATTGAATAAGAGTGATGAGACGTCTGAGTATTAGAAGAATCAGATACTATCTGAGCACAGAAAACAATTAGAGCTTGATAGTATTGATGACAATTAACAACTTTTGCTAAGGAATGAAATTGTAAAAAAGAAAATATTTTTTGAATCCGTAACTAAACCATGTAAAAGCGATGTTACACACATCAAATTGTTTTTTCAGACTTTATTGCTTCTATCTAAATCATTTGGGTGGATTTTTTTCGTTTCATCTATATTCTGCTTGACTTTTGGTTAGGTAATTTTTTAAGACTAACTCGGTATGATTAGTATGGGTACTATATACATTTATTATTTACCTAATATGAGCCCGTGTTCTACTGCGAGTTTGTCCGATGGATTCGTCAGCTACGTTGTCGCTCTGAGTGTGGACACGCGGTTTCACAGTTTCTGAAGATGTTTCTTGTGTACTACTAGCAGTACTGGCGGTTAAGAAACGACCGCGAGGTGGGAAACGTGTACTAGATGGTAACCTGGTGGAAAAATTTATACTCTAATGAAGATATCCCACTTCATTTCTCATATGATGTAAATATGTATAATTACCTATCTTCTTCTACATCTTCTTCAACAGGTGGTGGTGCAATAGTTCGACCGCGTTGGCGTCCTCTACTTGTGACAGGGAGTATCTCATTTAACTCTGATGTAGCAGCAGTGGTAGGTCCAGATCTGTCAATACTACTGTATTTATTCTTGTTCCTACTTTCTTTGGCTATGTGATTATCTGATTCGACCTTTTGTGGTCCGTCATGTGAATTATGAACTAATGGTGCTGCTGTTGTAGTGGTTGTCAATTTATCTTTGCCTTCTTTTTCTTTTTTGCCATTTTCATCTTCATCGTAATAGTAGTAAACATATTCATATTCATAATCCTGGCCATTGGGTGCCTTTTTAATTTGAATTCGTGAATTTTGTTCTGATCCTGCTGTTTCCAACTGCACATTAGATGTTAAAAGTCCACTATTGATATCGTCAATAGAGTCAAAATTAATAGGTATATAATCATAAGCTTTAGTTGTAGTAGGAGCAGCAGTGGTCAACACTGGTTTCTGAGTAGTTGTACCAGGAGAATTGTTTAATTTTCCAGACTCTGACATTGCTTCAAGTGCAACATCGATATTTGGATTAGTTTCCTTCTGTTCAGTACCTTCCTTGATTTTAATGTCTTCTATTTTTGAAACTGGAATATCAATTTCTATAGATTCTTTATTTTTTATCCCTTTTTTCAAAAAGGATCTTTTATCCTCTTCAATGGCAACTATACCCTCAGTTGGATGTTTGACTTTCCCACTGAATATTTTTTTGATAATTTTTTCACTCCCATCTTCAGGCTTAAGAATGCGATGAAGTGGATGTTTGTCTGGAATTTTATGCGACGTCTCAAAGTGTCTAAGCGGAGTTTGTTGTCCTGAACTAACTAGCACATATTCTTGTCCCGCTCGCGGCTCTGTGATAATATCTACTTCGCCGTATACTCCGTAAAAGGTGCAGAAAAACAAACATCTGTAACAAAGGAAACATGATTTTAGATCGTTATGTAGATACCAAATTACGAAAGTTGGTTCATTGCTGCTTCAAGAGTCAGTGCTCCGTGAGTCAGCAAGACGACATTTGGTTGCACCTACGGTCCTCGCTATCGTGACTCGAAATAAGGAACTCTGACTCATCTATTGTGTACATTTCATCACTGCATTCCTAATGTAGTGTAGGCATCAGCTGTAACATATCAAGATACAGCTGAAATTTGCGACCCCACTTCTACATACAAAACATGCTTATACTTTACATTTGCATACTTCATACTTATCAATAAATTTGGCACAGACGCCGTAAAAAGTTGTGTGAACACTAACTGAGCTAGAATACTGCAAAAAAAAACATTGTCGATAGCAAATGTGATGTGATCGTGAGAAATTGCCGGCGAAAATCGGAGCGTGGGTGTATTAAGCATACTGATTCCACAAGTGCAGATCGATGAGGCAATACAAGATGGCGATCACTTTCGCCTCTGGAGTCACTCTCACGCGACACCGGCCCGCGCTAGTCACGCGTGCCCATCCAACAATAAATGCCTTATCTATTCTTCATCATAGTAGCCGTAAAACGGCATTGAATGACCACGAATGTTTTTTAATATTATTACAAATAATCAAAGTTCGATTGATTGCATCACGATTTTTATAGGAATATTTTTGATTCATATATTAATTGATAAATGTAAATTTAATAATTTACAGTTAAAAAAATCAGATAGTATTTAATATTAATCTATATATATCTATAAATAACATGCCCTGGTCATCATTTAGAAATCTATACATATGAATAAAATTGGAGTGTCTGTTTGTAATATTGAAATAACCGTTTTTTACTACATGCTTATGAATATAAATACGGTACATACACCAAAATAACATTTTTAAAATTTTTGTCTGTCTGTTTGTTCTGGCTAATCTCTGAAATGGATGGGTCGATTTTGACGGGACTTTTATTGGCAATTAGCTGATGTAATAAGGAGTAACTTATGCTACTTTTATTTTAGAAAAATAAAGTTTAATTCCACGCGGACGTGGTCGCCAGTACAGCTAGTAGTAAATACAAATAGCTTTGAAAAATTCATATAAATTGCATATCACCTCTGCGAAAATGTTAAAAAAATACTTTATGACATACTATATATGTTCACTCTCAAGTCCATATAGTCATAATATTCAATATTATCATAAAAAGATTACTGATACATATCGTCATTATTTAGTTTACCTATTGCAAACCCAATTACTCAAGTCGGAAGGCACCCATTTCCGTATATTTCTTGCGGACCACCTACCGATTTGCGGAAGCTGATTAACTGGTAAAATAATGCACAACGCATGAGAGTTATGCATATACCGTTTAGTTTTCAATATATATTTACATCGATCATATATGTGACTATATATAAATGTATGTAAATTACGAATTACTCAAGCTATATTTATCAAATCATTTAATTCCAGAATATATTCTATATATAGGTATATAATCTATACGTATAAATAAAATTAGACTGTTTGTAATATTGAAATAACCGTTTTTTACTACATGCATATGAATATAAATAACATTTTTTACATTTTTTACTGTCTGGCTGTTTGTTCCGGCTAATCTCTTAAATAGCTGGACCTTGATCTGTTCTGTCCGTCTCATTGCTGATCTACCACGTGGCCTCGTGCCTTCTACTTTTCCCTGAACTACGAGACGCTCTATGGAGTCATTAGCACGGCGAGATGGCTGAAGAAGTTCAGAATGCGTGACTGCACTTTTAAGTGGTACGCAGCAAAAACTAATTAGGAACCACTGGTATAAACAATATATTAATATGAATAGGGAGAAAATGCTTGGGCTTCAGTACATATAAGCAACAGCATTCATAATGTTAATATTGCACATGTTCGTAACGAGACCGCTATACGGTACCGGTTCAATTTCACTAGACGTAAGGTCGCGTTGGCTGCAAGGCTATGTGAGCGTATCTGACCGACGTGGCCTCGATGGTACAGTGGTTTACCACGCTGCTTTTCTCCCGATGGTCGCGGGTTCGATTCATTCTAATATTTGTATTCATAAGCCTGATTTTTTTTATGAATGATAATGGAATGGTGCACCCGCCTTCGCTAACGGTTTACGCTGGCGGGGCACCAGTGGAGGATGATAAGATGAGCATGAGGTCAGGTCAGTTAGCCTATAGTGACAAATTCACCAGGAATTTAACACGATGGTTTCCAGGGGAACCGCGTGGAGGTCGACCTGACACGGTACATTGCTAGCAATGGGGTTATCAATCCACATTACTAACAATCCTCTTCCTTCCAGTATGATTGTTTGAATCGGTCTGGGTATTTTCTCTATATATTTCTATAAGTCTAGTAACCATAACACTGCTTAGCTTGGGACTAGATGGCGCTGTGTGAATTGTCCAGGGTTGTGAAAATAAAAATAAAATGCTGTAATATTGCTACACTCCGACGTTGTTCAGAAACGTCCTCTTGCAATGAAGGCTCTGCTGTTCACAGGTTACCTGCCAAATATGTAGAACACTATTGCGTGTACCGTAGTGAAATAAATTTAACGCAAAATTATCGAATTATAATTGCTAAAGGTAATAAAACGACGGGATCCATTATTAAATCTCTAATCTTTTAGAAAATCACCGCGAATTACTTCGATCAAAGTAGAGAGTGCAATTTATAAAACGTAAGTTTAGTGGAACAGGCATACTGATTCGAAAGCTTACATTGGAAAATTGTCTAGACAATTAAACTAATATAATAATAATAATATATACAATATGGGTTATGTGAATTATTTTTAGCTGTACATATATTACTATTATGGTTATTTATATCTTCCTAACATTATACATATAAATAAAATATATAAAAAAATATCTATTTGTAATATTGATATAACCGTGTTTTACTACATGCATATGAATATACTCGTAAATACGGTACATACACCAAAATAACGTTTTTTACAATTTTTGTCTGTCCGTCTGTTTGTTCCGGTTAGTCTCTGAAATGACTGGATCGATTTTGACGGGACTTTTATTGGCTGGTAGCTGATGTAGTAAGGAGTAACTTAGGCTACTTTTATATTAAAAAAAAACTTTGATTTTTGAAAATCAAAGTTAAATTCCACGCGGTCGAACGCGCGGTACAGCTAGTAATAATAATAATTATCATCATCTTCATTTATTTATTTGTCTCAAATAAAAACTAATTAGTATTTATAATAATTAATTTTAAAAGTAATGAACGTGACAAAACTTTCTATAACACAAAGGAGGTAGTGAGTCCATCCTTTCTGCTATTCTGTTATAGCCTTTATTAGTAAATTAATACAATAAGAAATAGACGAAGATATCACTTAAGTTCCAAACTACTACTAACTATGTGAGAATAAAAATTGACAATAATTTTATAAGATTATCATTGTATATACATACCTAGTTCATAACTATACCAATTTGTATATATTATGTAGGCACATGGGTTCTTTTTGACTAGACATTTAATGATAAACATATTTTCTTACGTCATTACACCTAATTTTCCACTTAAAAATATATATTGAATTTCAGAATGCATGCTCGACTAGTGATTAAGGTCTGAAAAGGAAACAATCAAATAATTTAAAAGTTAAGTTTTATGTTTACTAGTGATTTACCTAACGTAATATGACGTAATAAGACAATAATATGTTAATAATGAAAAATACATTTAAATATCTCATTGTCATACTGACTACAATTAAAATAAAAATAATTAAAAACGTAAATATATGTATATAAATATATGTTTCAATATTGGACCTGTTGCAGGTGAATGATACGATGTTGTTGGCCGAGACGATATATATGTATTACAGATGATAATAAACTGACAAAGTGTACATGGAAATAATGATCTGATATACTAAATAACAATAGGAAAATGTAAGGTGGGGTGACAGTTTAGTCACAGCAGTGCTTAGTAGACAATATTGAATTTGTCTTACTAGACATTATTAAATGCAATTATTATTTTGATATATCTAGGTGACTGTGTCCCATAGATTTTCCCCCATTGAGATAAAATATATATATATATATATATATATATATAAATATCCCCTTGGGCACTTTGTGGCTCAGACGTGCCGTATAGGTAGTTTTTTGTTGATCCTTTTTCACTTGTTGATCCGGAGGCCTTTTGTTGATCTAATGCCAGCTGACGATATATAAATGTTGATCCTTTTTGAGCCACAACTGTCACGACGAGTAATAATAATAATTAAGCGATTTATACACGATTTTATACAAATCCACCTTTTTGGCATTCGACCACTTCTTGATCCAATTCAAACGGGCCAATCAGGGTGCAGCATTTGCCAAGGGCTTCCTCATTGGCACGTTTGGACTACTACATTATGGCTACAGTAACTTAATAATGTCTAGCTAGTATTTCAAGAATAATAGTCTATCTAATCTAAATATTTATAGAAATCAGTCTAGAGGAACGTGACTCCAGATCAAACCTCAATACTTGTTATTTTTTGGACGGGAATTTTTCCTTTAGTAACAACGTTACTGAGCGAATGAAGAGAAGACGTAACAGCGGATCCAGGGGGGAGCGTCATGGAGGTCTTGGGAGTCATGGGGGCGTCATGACTCTCCCCCCCCTTACCCCAGGACTTAGGTAGACCACTAATTGAACTAAAAAATAATGAAACAGCAAATTTTTTTGCACGATCGGAGTGTTGGTGCAGTAGTATTAATTATAATTAAACATTGTTACTTAAAATATAACAGTTAAAGTACTATAACATTAAAAGCAAAATAGGTATTTTCAAAATACTTTTTCAAAATAAATTACCCTTTGAGTTTTTGTCCAAACCTCAGATATTTTATTTATTTTAGGTATATCAATCATTACATAGTATAGTATAGTATAAAACAAAGTCGCTGTCGCATCTAACAA